GTTGAAATATTTCTCACGACAGATACAAGAAAGCAGACATACGACCAAGTTACTCGGGCAAGGACTGAGAAATACGAGGTTGTCCCCGATTGGTAAGCTACGTGTAGACAGCTACAAGATATGACTCTTAAATAAAGTTGTTCAGTTCAATAAAAACAACGCTCCCATCAGTTCATAGATCACTATTGTCTCATTCCTTAACGTTGATTTTGGTCTGTGTTCCTTCCATTTGCGGGTTTCTAGAGCTCTTAAGAGTTACAGACCTCAAGGGATACACCGATTTCTCAGCGACAAACCCGCCCAGCCTCCAACGTCGAATGAGATTCTTAACTCCTTCGCGATAATTCTCGTTGAGCGCAAGGTATAGAATGGGATTAATGCCACTGTTTAGATGAGCCAAAAACAGACGCCAGAATAACACCTCACAGGGAACTCGAATTTTATAGGAAAACAAAATAAGCTGAATGAAAAACAGAAGCCAACAGAAGACAAATACAACCACCACTATAAAGACCATGCGAAGAACCTTCTTCTTTATGACGGCGTCACGCCTATGTTCTCTTCCCCCTCCTCTTGGAACAACTTCTCCAGGAGATTTTCTCAGTTTCAGTGAAATAAAAATTCCTGAGTAGAGTATAGCAATCACCGATAAAGGTACCGCAAATAATCCAATGAAGGTGAACTGATAGTAACTCTTCTCCGCTCCTTTGTAAAAGGCATCGTCTAGAGACAGTAAGCATCCGAGATAACCGTTTTTGCCCACTGTAATCTCTAGCCCGTACAACATCGGCAGTCGAATCGCAACTGACAAAATCCAGGTGAAAGCTATGATTATTTGGCAAATTTTCTTTGTGATGAAAGTCTTGAGTGGGAAAACAACGGCAAAAAACCGATCGCAGCTAATTGCAATGACAGTGAATATAGAGACTGCTATCGCTGTTTGATGCATGAACACGGAAAATTTGCAGAAAATCCGTCCTAATATTCCACCTACAAGCCAACGATATCCCGTGAAAGAGACGGATATCGAGCGCGGCATGTACAGTGTTATAAGGAGATCTGCAATACACATGTTCACAATGAAAAAGTTGATAGTTTTCCTCATTCGCCGTACTTTCCAGACCACCGTTATTATGGCGGAGTTTCCACACAAAGACACAATTACCAGAATACAATATGTCATGACATGAACCAACTTAACAGCTGTCGAATCTCTCACAAAGCACTCTTCTACGACGCCGTTTCTTTGTTCTGGTCGAGCTGTGGTATTCAAGCTTTCGTTTGAAGACATGACTTCGACGCATAAGGTCTAACTTTACTTTAACGCCGCCTTTAATTTCGGTTAACAAGTCTATGCAACTATTACTGAAATTCAGCCGCTTCTTGTTAGTCGATTCAGATCAATGTTTTCGTATCGAGATCTATTGATACAGAACCGATTCCAGTAGCATTTACCCAACAGACTACCGAGCGTTTGCCTTCCAATTGTCGCCGCATTGAATCATTTTTCCAGCTCTTTCATTATTGCGTTAATAATATTCCGAAAGACATTACTAACAACAATACAAATAAACCATCCAAATACAAATACATCTTTCAGATGGTTCTTAAGATATGTTTTGAACCTAAAATAACAACAACCCTTCTTGCGCCCATTGACTGGTAAAGTAAAAACTTAGCAGGATATTCTTAAGTTACTATAAACGTTTGACTCGAACTTGTGACCAAACAAACTGGTGACTTCTAAATGATCGCGGTTATTTCTTAAGGGAATTTTAGACGCGAATCGCAATTAAGTTGTCTCTTTTTTCATTGGAATTGTTTGGCAAATTATCACTACATCTTTTGACAGTTCAAGGAAAGGTGCCATTTGGTCAACATTATTTATTCTTTTCTTGTTTGACGATATTTCAACGCATCAGTTTCAGCAGAGAGAATTTAGCGTTTAGATATGAAATTTTAAGGACTGCTTCTGGTAACTTCAAGCAAAAGGGGATCAGTGAGGGATTTGGAGTAAGTCACAGAACTATTTACCAAAAAATGAGAATTATTCTCAAAATATTCCGCCAATAATAAATCCGAGTTGAGTGGCTTACTTTAAGTACATGCTCTTCGGAAGTTTAAAAAATAGACGAGATTCGCTTATGTGTTAATTCAAAGCAAACACGTCTGGAAAAACATTGCGCGCAATTGCGTTGATTCTTAAGTGCTGGTGGAAGGGCAGTGGGCAAGTTACATGTTTACCAATGATCAAATCACACGTATAAATTGTTATGAATCTATCCAAAGTTCTCACGGGGTTCTCACAAGCCGCACCCTGATCAACCGAATCGCAAGTTATCGCCAGGTCAGTCAGACTTTTACACTCCTTATTTTTTTAAAACCACAATTTACAATTAATATGCAAGCCTGAAAGGAGTATTGACACACCTTGTTCCAGTTGACAAGCACTTAATGAAATTTCGTATTTTTGCTTCCTAAACGTTATAATTGGGTGGCTTGATCTTTGGACATTTTATTTCTAATTTAAAATTTATTCTCATCTTCACAACCTCTTGGAGTTCAGGTAATCTGAAAACGTTGGGAATTTCGTTTTTTCGCTACTTATTACTACCTATTGCACCGATTTACTACAGCAACCAAGAAACGTTTTTTCCTGGAATATTTTTCATGAGATGACATGCATCATCTTCCCTTCCCTTCTCAGATCTGTTTCCAGGGTAATGAATAAATACATCTTTAAAACATGCTGTAGTTTTGTGTTGACTCTTTCCCAATTGTTAATCTCTAAATTGCCACTGAATTTCAAACACTCATTAATAATTCATAAAGAGTGTCTTTATATCTGATAAAGAACCGGCTAAACTTCTCGTCCAATTTTTTTAGACCAAAGTAACCCCCAATCTAAATATTAGTGCAAGAATGAGTTGATCTATATCTGAGATTTTGAAGCCGTTCAAAAAACTCGCAGTCTTGTATTGACAGGTTTAAAAACTCTCGGCTTCGCCTTGAGTTTTTAAACCTGATAATACACCCTTGCTCGTTTTTAAACAGCACATAAAAACCGGCCATTTGGATACAAAGGAATAGAAATAAAGGAGCCATAAATAGTTGAGGATAAGAGATAGTGGGACTGTTCATTGAAGGATAATTGATTAATGATGATGATGATGATGATGATGATGATGATGATGATGGTGGTGGTGGTGATGATGATGATGATGATGGTGATGATGATGATGATGATGATGATGATGACGATGACGATGATGATGATGATGATGATGATTTTCAGAAACCTTTGGGTTTATTTAACCAATCGTCGCTACACCCTTTTTTTCATCCACGGGAAACCAACTTTCACTTGCTAGCATAAACTTCAACTTTTATTTTTCCAACAGTCAATCACCAATAAACAGCGCGGAAGAGGTTTCATTTGAATAGTCACAAATAAGGATTTTATCACAGACTCAGGCGGCGCGCACTATTGCATTGATTTTGGAACGAGAAAATTCATACAGCACCACAGCACTCACGACACTATAAATAACGTTTTATTTTTTTTGGACGTAGAGGAATGATAAGCTGACTTATATACTGCGGGAAGAACATAAGCGACATTCTAAACATCACTACCCCAGCAGAAAACCCTTATTGATTTTACAGAGAGGGGCGTCAGACCATAAATCAAGGTTCCATACTTGACGTCAAATTCTAAAGCAAACCTAAAAGTATGGCACCTTTTTTTTTTAATTATTTTTTTTTTTTTTTAAAAAAAAAAATCACATTGACAACAAGGGTTTTGAAGTTGCTTTTAACGTTTTAAGAGTATATGTGTGTTTGATGAAGTGGGAGAGAGTGATGGGGGG